CTGTGCTCAGGGCTTACTCCTAACTCTGTGTTCAAGGGTCACACCTAGCAGTGACCATATGTGGGGCAGCATCAAACCCAGGTTGGCCATGTGCAAGGCAAGCACTTTACTAATTCTCTAGTCCTGGTGTTCACGGTAGATCACTGTAGATCACGGTCCTCCCGTTGTTCATCAATTTGCTTGACCGGGCCCAGTAATGTCTCCATTGTGAAACTTGTTACTTGGTTTGGCATATCGAATACGCCATGGGGAGCTTGCCAGACTTTGCCGTGCGGGCGAGATACTCTCGGTAGCTTGCCGGGCTCTCCGAGAGGGGCGGAGGAATCAAACTTGGGTCGGCCATGTTGGTTGCATGCAAGGCAGACACCCTACCCATTGTGCTATCGCTCCAGCCCAGTCCTGGTGTTGAATTTCTAAAGTTTATTATTTATTAAGTGTAGTTATTATGAGATTTTTCTTCAATTTTCTAATTTCTTTGATTTTTTTATTAAGAAACTGTGATTTAAAAAATGGTTCATAGTTGAGTTTCAGGAAAATAATTTTCCAACACCAGTACCAGTACCAGTACCAGTGTCAACATGCCTCCATCAATGTTCCCAGATTCCTTCAGAAACATTTTAAAGTTTGCTTATTATAGTTGGGCCTCATGCTTTCAGTGTTAGTCCTGTTCGTCCTCTTGTTCATCTCTTCTTACTTGTCCCCTCCATTTATTTTCCGTTTACTCATTTGTATAATCTAGGGTCTAGGGTAACATAGGGGCCCCTTTTGATACCTTGTATTCCTTCACCCTGTTATTCTATATGCCACAGACAGATAAGTAAGAGCATCTAGTATTTGTCCTCTCCTGACTTACTTCACTTAACATGATATCCTCCAATTACATCCAAATTGCAGCAAGTCTATGATTTCATCAATTCTTGCTGCTTCACAGTATTCCATTATATATAAATATAACTTTTCATATCCACTCATTCATCTTTAGACACCTAGGTTAATTCAGTATTCTAGCTATGACTCTAAGTGATGCAGTGAATAATGGTGTGAATATTGTCCTTGTTTCTTGTGAATGTGTTGGGGCTAGATACTAAAAAGTGGAGTTCCAGGATTATATGGCAGTTCTATTCTTATTTTTCTGAGAAATCTCCATACTGTTTTCCACAAGGGCTGAACCAGACAACATTTCCACCAGCAGTGAATGAGAGTTCCTTTTTAGGACATCCCTGCCAAAACAGATGAGTCTTTGTTTGTTTGTTTGCTTTGTTTTTTAATATGTGCCATTCTCTCTGTTGTGAGATGGTCTTATTGTTGTCTTGATTTGAATTTCCTTGATTATACTTGATAAGGGCTGGAACGATAGCACAGTGGGTAGGGCATTTGCCTTGCAAGCGGCCAACATGGCCGACCCTAGTTCGATTCCTCCGCCCCTCTCAGAGAGCCCGGCAAGCTACCAGAGAGTGTCTTGCCAACACAGCAAAGCCTGGCAAGCTACCCGTGACGTATTCGATATGCCAAACACAGTGACAATTGTCACAATGGAGACATTACTGGGCCCGCTCGAGCAAATCAATGAACAATGGGAGGACAGTGACAGTGGTACTTGATAATGAGCACTTTTTATGTGCCTGTTGTCCATCTGTCTGTCTTCAGAGAAGTGTCAGTTCCTTTTCTATTCCCATATTTTAATAGGCTTTGGATTCTTTGGTTGATCTTTAGTACTTATATAAAAATACTTTTTTAAATTTTATTTTTTTGTTTTTTATTTTTATAATGTAGGAGTACTGCTATTTATTCAGCCATTGATTAAGCTGATTGAATAAAAATACTTTTTATATTAACTCTTTTCTCTGATTGTTGAGTGCAAATATTTTCTCTCAATCTGTTTCTCTGATTGTTGAGTGCAAATATTTTATCTCAATAACAGGATAAAGGAATGTAAGGTATCAAAGTGTCTTTTAGTTTTAGCCCTTCTTTCTTTTGCAATATAGAATTTTTTTAATTTGATGTAGTCTTATTGTTTATTTTTGTTTCTGATTGCCTTTGCCAATGGAATTATATCATTGAAAACACCTTTGTGGCTCAAATATAGGCATTCTGCCCATATTTTTCACGATGTATTTTATGGATTCTGGTCTGATCTCAAGACCTTTGACTCGCTTAGAATTGACTTTTGTGTAAGGTGTGAAACATGGATCTAGCTTTATTTTTGTCATGTGGTTATACAGTTTTCCAGCACCATTTGTTTAAAGTTCTATCTTTACTCCATTTCATGTACCCAACAATTTTGCACAAAATTTGTTGACCATAGATCTGGGAATTTGTCTTTGTGTGCTTGATTCTAACTTACTAGTCAGAGTTTTTCTAACTCACTAGTCTGTTCTTAGTCCAGTACCATGCTGTTTTGATCACTATGGTTTTTTAATATAGTTTCAGTTATATAATGAGATATGTCCCAATTTTTTATTTCTCAGTATGGATTGGCTATTTGGGGTGTTTTATGATTCCATAAAACTTTCTTATTGAAAAAAATTCTTATTGACTATTCTAAGTCCTTGAAGCATATCATTGGTGGGGATTGTATCTAGCTGTATAATAATTTAGGTAGGAAGGTCATTTTGACAATAGTTATTTTTCTAATTCATAAACATGGAATAGTTTTTATTTCCTAAGACCTTTCTTCTAGTCCTTTCTTAAGTGAATTATAAGTTCACTTAAGGAATTATAGTTTTCGTAGTATAGGTCTCTCCCATCTTAAGTTGATCCTTAGGTGATTGTGTTTTGGAACACTGTTTTGAATGGAATGGACTCTGAAAGGAGTGGAATTTTTTATCTCTTCCTCTTCTAGTTCATTATTTGTATATGGAAAATTCAGAAGATTTTTTGCTTGTTGACTTTATGACCAGCTACCTTGCTGTATTGGTTTATTTTTTCTAAGAAACATAAAGAGTTCTTTAGTGAACTTTTATAAGGGCTGGAGCGATAGCACAGCGGGTAGGGCGTTCGCCTTACAAGTGGTCAGCATGGCCAACCCGAGTTCGATTCCTCCGCCCCTCTCGGAGAGCCCGGCAAGCTACCGAGAGTATTCGATATGCCAGACACAGTAACAACAAAGTCTCCAATGGAGACGTTACTGTGCCCGCTTGAGCAAATCGACGATCAACGGGAGGGCCTTTACCTTTACCTTTATGTCACCTAAAAATAGTGATAATTGACTACTTTTCCTGTATGGATCCCTTGGATTTCTCCTGTATTTTATTAATTTGGTTAGTTACTTTGATTTTCAGAGTTAAAACTCTTTGAATTCCTGGGTAAATACATTTTGCCTTTAAATGTATTTATTTTAAAACATTCATATTTGCACGTTGCTGTATTTTATTTGCAAATAATTTGTTAACGAGTTTTGCATTTGGGGTACAGGGAAATGGTTCAAAAGGATGGAGAGCACGCTTTGTATGCAAGAGGCCTGAATTCCATCTCTACAACCACTTGTCCTCCTGAGCACTGCTGGGGGCGGTTCCCAAATGTAAAATATTGAGGCAGTTTTAGCATCTTGAGATAAAAACTGCAAAATATTGATCAGCAGAATTTTGGGTGCATATAGTAATATTTTGTGGGGTTTATTGTTTGTTATTTTTGTTTCATAAGTGAGTTGGGGAATTTTTTCCTCTTTGAGTAAGAGTAGTGTTATTTCTTTCTTAAATGTTTGGTAGAATTTTCTAGTGAAGCATTGTGGTCTGAAATATTCTTTGTGGGAAATATAGTTTTCCCATTAATAATCATGAACCATTTCCTTGAATTTAAAAAAATTATAACGAAACTTTACTTTAATAAAAATGTTTTAAAATGTAGATTTCATTTATAAGCAACAAGTGCTTATTTTAAGGTTTGTAAATGAGGACAAAATATTGAAAATATTTGCAGGAGTTAAGAACTATTCAAGTCTTACAGCCACTAAAAAACGATTCAAAGAAATTCAGATCTGATGTTGAGTATGTGCCTGCAATGGCAGAGAATATATCTTGCATATGTGAGGCTCTGGGTTAGAAGCTAACATAATGTGCCTCTCTCCCCCAGTACCTCAGAGAGTGGCCCTCATACACCCCAGCACTGCCTGGCATGACTCTTCACAACTATCAAAAACTGACGTGCTACTTTGAGACAATATCATTTATTTGGGATTAAAATAGCAATGACCAGATTTTTTTTAATTTATTTATTTTTGGTTCACATCCATAGATGCACAAGGGTCACTCCTGATTCTGCACTAAGGGAACTATATGGTATGCCAGGGATCAAACTCTAGATGTCTGAGTGCAATGCAAGTGCGTTACCCACCCTGCTGTACTCTCTCCAGTCCCTCAATGACTACAATTTTTTTAGTTTAAACTAACAAAAAGGGTCCTTACCAGCTATTACAGGACTAACCCCACCAATACTACCGTGATGAATATTTTATTAGCCCATTTTTGCAAATGAACAAAAGAGCAGGAATAAAGGGGTTGGTCTAAAATATTCTTAACTAAAATAAACTAAATAAACTATTCTAAAATATTCTAAACTAAAATAAACTAAAATATTCTCACTTGCAAGAATCTATCCATGAACAGTATTTCTCCCACTCAATTAATCTTTTCCTCATAGTTTTTAATCCAAATAATAAAGCTACAAATTTTAAATTCCTCCTCCTCCTCCTACTCTCCTCCCCAAACTCTAAGAACTTTGGCATAAAGGTCTAACTGAAACAATTGCTGTCCTTTGAGGTGGGCCCCAGACATAATTGGGGAGACAGAAGAAACCCTACTTGATACACTTTTATGGCTCATCATGATTCAGCTTTCCCTTCCGTGAAATGATGAGGAACTTACTTCTGAGCTGCTCCAAGAACTTGGGTTGAAAGAGGAGAAACCATTTTGTGGAGCAAAGAGTCTGTTGATGATATTTGGGCCAGTAATTCAAGCCCTAAACATCATTTTTGAAAGTGTTCAATCTCCCAACTTCTCCAGCAGGTGCCGTTATCTCTAAGTCTGAATAAGACTGAGATAAAGAGGATCTTGTATTTGGGCTGCCATTAAAAGCAGAGGGTGAGGCCTCATCAAGTATTCATGCCCAGGAACAAACCCCCATACCAAGTACTGGAAACAAGTCAGGTAAGAGAGGAACTCAATAGCCTAAAATCTGCTCATCTGGTTCGAGATTAGTGAGCTCACTAGCTGGGTTGCCTGTGGAGGACTCAGCAGACAAAAGCAACTTCGAAAATTACCATGAAGTATATCTTTGCATCCAGGTACCATGAATGGAAGCACTATAGGTACTGAACTCAGTCTTTCATCTCCACAGCCCAAAAGGAGAGAATCTGGAAAGCTTATCTAAGTCCTGAGCAAGTTTCTGCACCAGGCTTTGAGCTTTAGGATTGTGATCCTTGGCAGATGTAGTCTTGCACCCAGATCTTGGCACCTGCCATCTCTTACTGGAACATTCTCCTTACTTCTATCTGCCTTTCTATTACGTCTTTTAAATTTTTTAAATTTTATTTTAGGCACCATTCATGGCTTATAATACTGCTAATGGTAGGATTTTTCTGTTATATCTTAAATGTTCTTTCTGAGGGCTCCCTGACCTCCCAACAAGCTCAAATAGACTTCCCCATTCAACCCTTTTCAGCAACATCACTTCTTCATTTCATGAGACGTCATCTTTCTTTGATAAATTGTTTAATATTTGAGACTCTATAATGGAACATGTCTGCTTTGGTTGCTGCTATGTCCCTAGTGCCTGGCACATTGTATGTGGTCATAAAATACATTCGATAATACTTCCTCTATGCTTATCCTGCTTTCAAAGTCCTTCTGTTTCACATGGAGTTGTGTTCCTCTGGGGCTAGGAAGGTTTTTGGATTTGCTTGTGTGATGTTTCCACGTCACCACTGTTCCCTTCCATTACTAGGTGCAGTTAGAATTCCATAGTTCTTTGCATGTTGTTTGCATGGATGCACTATGAACTCCATTATTCTCCTTGTGGTTTCCTAATGTGTCCTCAGTTCCACAGAACTGGAGCACTGTTTACTCAGTTTCTCTCTATGACTTGATCTGACTGTCCAACCACAGCACATACCAGGAAGGGATGAAAACAGTGTGATTTCTCAGGCAAAGGAAGCTGTGGCAAGAACTGAAGCATAATAACTTTTGTGTTTTGAAAGCTGATACATACAGCACAGCTGTCTTGTAGAGAGTAGATTATTGTCACTGTCACTGTCCTCCCGTTGTTCATCGATTTGCTCAAGCGGACCCAGTAACGTCTCCATTGGAGACTTTTGTTGTTACTGTGTTTGGCATATCGAATACCTCACGGGTAGCTTGCCAGGCTCTGCCGTGTGGGCGAGATACTCTCGGTAGCTTGCCGGGCTCTCCGAGAGGGGCGGAGGAATCGAACTCGGGTCAGCCATGTTGGCTGCATGCAAGGCAAATGCCCTACCGCTATGCTGTCGCTCCAGCCCCAGATCATTGTCATCTCTGTTTTATAGATAAGTAAGCTGAAGTTTGGAAAAAGTAAAGAACTTTTCTAGCAAATACCAAAGTGGAGATCTAAGTTCAAGTCTGTTGATGCTCAGGGTCTAGTTTAATCACTGTGCTCAACTGGTCTCCTGTTATGCTTGCCCCTTGGCCTGTGGTTCTTGAGGGAACCTGGGTCCTGTCAAAAAATAAAGAAACTGGGCTGGCTGAGGACTCTCAAAATTTGACACTTCACATAGTTCCTCACCTGGTGCAATAAGCTGTCTTAAATGCCCTTCTCAGTGACTTTTCAGTCTGATCTACATATCCTTTGACCTTCCTTGTAAGATATGGAGAGGCAAAGTGAGGTTTTTGGATGACGGCATAATTACTAATCTTAGGGAAAGAACAGGAAAATGGCCACAGAGAAGGGGAAAGCTAAAAGTAACCTGGGCATCCAGGAAAGGTTGTCAGGGTAGGAATGTGTCACTGGGTCTTTTTTTTTTAATTTTTTAAAATTTTAATGAATCACCATGAGATACAGTTACAGAAGGTTTTACAAACCTTCGTGATTACATTTCAATCAAACAATGTTGAGTAACCATCCCTCCACCAGTGCCCATTCTCTGCCACCAAAATTCCCAGTCTCCCTCCCACCACCCCCACCTCTTCCCACCTTCTGCCTCTGTGGCAGATACATTCCCTCTTACAGAGCTCTCTCTCTCTCTCCTTTTGGCTGTTTTGGTTTGCAATAAAGGTAGTAAGCGGCCATCATGTTTGGTCCATAGTCTATTTTCAGCACACATCTACCATCCCGAGCAATCCCTTCAACCATCGTTCACTTAAGTGATCTCTTCTCCATTCCACCTGCCTTTTCCTCCAAGAAATGAGATTGGCTTTCAAGCCATGGAGTGATCCTCCTGGCCCCTATATCTACTAGCCTTAGGTGTTGGCACTGGGTCTTAGAGTTGGAGCACCTGCCCATTGTGTGAAACTTTCTATAGCATTCTCATTAGAAATTAGCTTCCAACCTTACATAAGTTTCCAATTCTTACCTATTCCTGATAGGTAAGAGATGCAGGTCTTAAAAATTCAGGGAAAATAATAGCAATTCTATTAATTCTATAAAGAATTGCTATTCTTAACCTAGAGCCCCACCTTCTCCTTCCCAATCTGCCATCTTCTGGACACTCCCAGGACACTCTGTGGGCTCTTGAAAACACTTGGCACAGACCCTTGTCTGCTTTTCTGCTCCTATCCTTGACCCTTCACTTATGGCCTTGTGACCTGCTAGATCAAGTAAGTGCTCCTTGAGCCTGAGTTTTTCAAGCTGACCTCTGTTTTACCCATCCAGGCAATGACTCAGGATGCAGACAGGGACCACAACTTGCACAGAAGACCGAATTCTACATGCCCTGGAGCGCTGCTTGCATGGACTCAGTCTCAACCGCCATTCCACCTCTTGGTCAGGTAGGTCTTAGAGTATGAGGGAGACATGTAAGACCTAAGGAAGCCCCAGGGCCCGTGATGCCCGTGGAAACCTGACAGAGTAGGCCTTCAGTAAATGGGAGTTTTTACCTTTTCATAGTTTCTTCCTCAAACCCATCGGGGCTGCATCTTGATTCTTTAACTTGCACTAGAATCAGAGATACTTATTAAAAACAATTAGAAATGGCACAATTTATTATGGTAGAACAGTTGGTAATTTATGGCAATCCTGTTTATTGATTTTTAATTGTAAAACATAAGGTTTTACAGCAAAACTTCAGAAAGCAAACAGTTTAGCGGTTTTCTCAGTTTTTCGGGACTGAGAAAAAGGGGTACCTGCAAACTGGAGTAGTTGTGTTTGAAGAGTAATGCCTAATTGTACTTCATTACGCTCATAAAGATTTATGAGTTGTAATCCATTATGCTCATAAAATTATTTCATATCCCATATCTCATTTATTTTATGTATAAGACTTCCCCATAAGATGGAAACTCAATACTTTCTGAATATATCCACTTTCTTTTTAACCTCAAAACCTTTGCACCTGCTTCATAGAACTCTTCCTCAGAGAAACACATAGCTGAATTCTTCTTTAGAGTTTTGTTCAAATGTCGTCTTCTCTGAAAGACTTTCCATAGTTTTTGGAATTAAACATAATTGAGATTAAAAGTTTTTTTACTGATTGTATAACCCTTTAATCTCCTAGTACCCCACTGGTCTGTATAATGAAGTTAATAACAATAAGGACTCCCTATCTAAAGAGAGGATGGGGCTTAGCAAGAATACTTAGTGGAGATAATGTAAATAATGTATGTAAAGGTCTAAAATCTTATTGTCATGGAAGTTTTTTTACCTTCTTTCCTCCAACCCAGATTTTAATTGAATTTATCTTATAAACTGGAAGAGGCTATCATTATGTGATATAATGCAAAAACATCTGACTCTTGCAAAGTTAACAAAGACTAATGAACACGTGAACACTATGTTCGAACAATTAGGACTTTGGAAGGAGTCCAGGCATGTCAAACTCCATGAAAATTCATGATTGGACCAGAGTGATAGTACAGTGGGTAGGGCATTTTCCTTGCACATGGCCAACCTAGGTTCGATCCCCGGCATCCCATATAGTCCCCTTAAGCACTGCCAGGAATAATTCCTGAGTGCAGAGCCAGGAGTAATCCCTGAGTATCGCAGGGTGTGACCCAAAAAGCAAAAAAAAAAAAAGAGAGAGAGAGAAAGAAACTCATGATCAATCTTGTTTTGTCCATGTGTCTCCCCTCCCCCAACTGCACATATGACTAACCCTTTAATTTGTGGAGTTTACCCTTGCTGACTTCAGGAAAAGAGACTAATAAAATACAAAAGTGTAGGAAAGTTACAAACTTACAAAGTGTTCATTGAAGCTTTCCAAATCTAAAGGAAAGTAGCTTCCTCTTCCAGTCTTTCATTTTGAAGTACTCTGGGACAGTCTTGTGGCTGCTGGCTATTATTGACTTGTCCCTATATCATGGAATGAAGTTTGAGTGGCTCCTTTCTAATTTTTGAGCAATCCTCCAGCCCACTCCCATGCTCTATTTTCTGCATCTTTGAGATTTGAGTACTCACTGTAGGAAACCAGGCAAGGAATTTAGGGAAAAAGGCAGAGGAGCAGAACCATAACCAGGTCACTGATCTCTATACGGAATCCCAGTCCGTCTCTGAGTCTCTTAAGGCTCCTGTATATCTATATGTAGAACTAAGGAATTTGTCAGCGTGTCTTGAAGACAGAGCAGAGATTCTTCAGAGATTCTTATGAAAAATGTACCAGAAAGAGTTGAATGAACAAGGTCATGAACAAGATGCTAATGGCCCTGGCTCCCTATGAATAGCCAAGCTACTTTGGCTGTGAAAGTGGGCTTTGTCATGGGTTGTGGCATGGGTATGACAGCAGTCCTTTTCCTAAGGATTTGAATGCAGGGTTGGTAACTTTTTGGGTGGCATTGGGAAAACCAAGTGCAGAGTGTTGGCACCTTTGGTACGTTCATAGTCATTGAAGTGGACATCAATACTAGTTAAGGTAATAGTTGCCTATTACATCTCACTCCTTCCTTCAGTCCAAGCTATTGACCACAGTAAAAAGTATTTAAATAGCAAGAAGGAGGAGGAGAGGAAGAGGAAGAAGAAAGAAGAAGAAGAAGAAGAAGAAGAAGAAGAAGAAGAAGAAGAAGAAGAAGAAGAGAAAGAAAGAAGAAGGTGGTGATGATGATGATAATGATGATGAAGATGATGAAGAAGACTGCAACAGAGCTGCCCCAGAAGGATTCTATTCCCTAACCTCAAAGTGAAAGCTCACCTTTCTCTTTATTTGCAGCTGGGCTGTGTCTGAACTGTTGGAGCCTACAGGAACTTGTCAGCAGGGACCCAGGCCACTTCCTTGTCCTCCTGGAATTGATCTTACAGAAAACTGGAGAGGTGGGAGCCAAACAGGAACTAAAGGGATCGTCCTTGAAATAGGCACCCACAGAATGTCAGTTTTGAGGTACTTGGTCTACTATAGGACTCAGTCAAAACTGAGTGGTCTGTTTCATGGTGTGTTTGGGTTGAGAGTTTCTAGAAAGAATTCTGAGCTTCTTGAGAAACTGACACTGGGTATAAGTTGTACTAACTAGAAATAAGAAAGAAAGCAATAGCAAATTTACCGACCCTTCTTCCTCAAATCTTTAAAAAACAAACACCTGAGTGCCAGTGATATAATACAGCAAATAAAGCACTTACCAGATAGCACAGCGGTAGGGTGTTTGCCTCGCAAGCTGCTGGCCTGGCGGAGCCGCGTTCAATTCCTCCGCCCGTCTCAGAGAGCAAGCTACCGAGAGTATTTCATCCACACGGCAAAGACTGGCAAGCTACCCGTGACGTATTCGATATGCCAAACACAGTAACAAGTCTCATGATGGAGACGTTACTGGGCCCGCTCGAGCAAATCGATGAACAACAGGAGGACAGTGCTACAGTGCTACCTTGCATGCAGCCAAACGGGATTTAATCCCTGGCACAGAATATAATCACCCAAGCACCACCAGAAGTAAACCCTGAGCATAGCTGTAGTCCAAAAGTCCAAACAAAGAGACAAATAAAATACCCCAAAGACATGAAAGGGAAACTGATTAGAAAGTAAACAGAGAACTTCCACAATAGATCAACACATAGATATTTGGTACAGTAGGGAGTATTTTGAATACTGAGATGGACTGGGGTTCAGAATAGCTGTGACTCTCCAGGATAAATTCTGGTTTTTATAAACAATTACCTTTCAAGATTTCTTGAAATACATAGCTGAGTAGGGAAATGTGTATCATTCTCTAAGTTAGCTGTTCCTATTAAGAAATAAGTCTGGGTTTATCTAGACTAACCCATGTTCAACTTCTGATGCTAATCATTATCTACTCGTTTTATACTGTCATCTCAAGTGGACCAACTCAGAAAAGCTAAACCACTGCTGGGGTGATTAACATATAAATCCCAATATAACAACTCTTTGGCAATAGGGGAAGGGGTTTTGTTTGTTTTGAGGTGTTCGGGAGCTATACCTGGCTCATTGTCAGAGTTGAGGCCGGAGGATGAGGAGGATATCCAATGAAGCACCAGGGATTTGACCTGGATCTGTGCTCCCACCCTTTTCAGTATCTCCCTGGGTCCCATGGGGAAGCTTTTTAAGAGAAACTGACCAATAAGTCTATCAGATACTTTATTCAGGATAAGGAGAGAGGGAGAATTCTAAATTTGATACTGCTGTGGTCAAGAGACATAGTAGAGTTGAAGGGGCTTTCTCTGTATCTTCAATGCCCCTGAGTTCCAGAGTGAGCAAAAAAACATTTAGCATTTTGACCAAAGAATTCTAAATAGTGTACATACATGGCACTAAGAGATAATTCATAAAAGAAAAAATAGAACTCACAAGCAAATATGGAAAAATTGTTGCCTCAGGTTCTAATAAAATAAATGTAAATTAAAACCATGTTGACCCAATCTTTGCTTAGCAAATTAGAAGAAAAATTATTATAGCTCATAGACAGAAGAGCATAATGATACTAGTACTTTGATACATAAAAGATATTATAAATGGCAAAATTATTTTGAAAAGCAAGTTAACAATAAATTTCAAAGATAGTAAATATTGATAAGCTGATCCTACTTCTTGAAGTCTATCTTAGATAGGATATAAGCAAAATCATAGAAAAAGGGATGTGCTCAAAATTTTTCATTGCAGAGGCATTTAGATAGGAAGAAAGTAATCTCAAATGTTTAAAATTAAGTTAATGTCTTATGAAGATCTATCAGAAGAAATATTACACAGGTAATAAAATTATGGTGTCACTGTCCTCCCGTTGTTCATCGATTTGCTCGAGCGGGCCCAGTAATGTCTCCATCAGGAGACTTTGTTGTTACTGTGTTTGGCATATCGAATACATCATGGGTAGCTTGCCAGGCTCTGCCGTATGGGCAAGATACTCTCGGTACCTTGCCGGGCTCTCCGAGAGGGGCGGAGGAATCGAACTCGGGTTGGCCATGTTTGGCTGCATGCAAGGTAAACGCCCTACCGCTGTGCTATCACTCCAGCTACCTTTTAACATCCAATCAAATTGCATTAGTAAGATTTATTAACGTTCTAGGGGAAATTGACTAAACATTTTTGAAAATACAGAATATGATTACAAATTCATACCATATGCAAATAGAATTCTAAATGCACTAATGATTTAAATTTAAGGAAATAAATCTTTAAAGAAAAGGAAATGTATGTATATGATCCTTGCAAAGCTCCAGGAAGAGAAAATTAATACATATCATTTATGTACATCAAAAAATTCATAAAATTAAAAGACAGAAAACTGGAGGAAAATGTGTAACACAAATGACTGGGTCAATATATAACTGAAGAGGGAAAAAAGAGGTAGTCTTAGAGACCAGGTAGCAAAACAGAACTTTATTTCCATGTAAATTTCAACCATAATATATTTAAATGTTAGATCTAAGAGATATTAAGAGTAAAATACACAAACCATAATTATAGTTCTGCAGAAGAAACTACATAGAGAAAAATAGCGTGAGGAGAAATTCATTAAAATACTATTTGTGATTGGTCTTGGAAGGGGATATTGTTTTGTTCGTTTTTCACTTCTGTTTTTAGACTTGTTGCTTTGTGAGTGCATCGTTTTTTATTTGAACAGAGAAAATTAAAATGGCAACAATAAACCACTGTTTTGTAGTACTGCTGGGAGCCCTCCACCCTGTACATGAGACTTATCCTTTCACTTCTACCCTCTCCACAGGTTCAGGAGAAGGGAATATATGACCTCCTGACCCCACTGGCCCTGCTCTTCTATTCCACTGTCCTTGGTGTAAGTTCTAGGGTGTATCCCACCAGGGGAGGTTGGGAAGGAGAGCATAGTCTTCACACCTTTGGAGACAGAGGTAGTATTCAACCTTCTGACAGCTTCAGGGCAGTCAGCTTGAAGGCCTCCAAGTGACTACAGGTACTTGAGTGGATTCACTTTAAGAATAAATAAACATTTGCCTCTACTTGAGAGAATTTACGTAAAAGTGTTTTAGGGATTGAAGATCATTCTCTGAAATGAATAGTACTAATAGTACCATTTAGGATGACCTTCAAGGTAAGAGCTTTTTAAAGAGGGACTCTCATTTGTTAGGTAAACTGTGTTTTTTTTTGTTGTTGTTTTTTTGTTTTTTAAAAAACTAGGCCTTTTCTATAGACACTACCCTGGGCCCCATCTTCTTCATGTGTAACCTACTTTCTCTGGATAATTTCTGATTCTTGAAATCTATTCCCTTTGTGAATTATTTCTGAAATGCACAGGTCTTAGGTAGATATTGGTAAGCTTTTCCTCACCTAGACTTATCTGTTTGCACTCCTTCTCCATCCCAGACACCACACTTTCCACCAGATTCAGATATTCTTCTGAAAGCATCCAGAACCTACCACCAGTTCTTGACCTGGCCGGTTCCTTACTGTAGCATCTGCCAGGAACTGCTCACCTTCATTGATGCTGAACTCAAGGCCCCAGGTAAGTGTTGAAACAGCCATCACATAAGATAAAAGTCATATGGTCAGAAGGGTTCCAGCTCTTCTAGAACTGTTCTTTGGTGATGAACCTCCTTATACCATATTCCTCAGCCCACATTTCTTGCTTTCTAACTTTGAAGTTTCTTCATGGCACACACAGCACTGCATGGCTGAAAGTATGCAAAAAGGAGACAACTTGAGGAGGGATTCTAAGGGGAAGTTATAGCAGGGGTTCTGAGAAGGGAACTCTGCGTAAGCCCTGAACCTGCTCTGGACCTACTCTGGATAGCCAAGGGGTCTCTAAGGATGCTCAGGTCAGAGAAGCTCCTCCAGTACTGAAATTTGTTCTCTTTACATATAGAAAAATGTATGCATAGATAAATTCAGTTCTGAAAAGTAACTGATGTTGGAATGGACAGGTTGCTAGTGTGGGCATGGCCTGGTACTGGCAAAGTTTTCATTATGAAAACTGTTTTGGAATGAGAGAAAATATCACTGTATCACTGTCATCCCATTGTTCATAGATTTGCTCTAGTGGACGCCAGTTACATCTCCATTTGTCCCAGCCCTGAGATTGTAGCAGCCTTTCCTTACTGTCCTTCCCAACGGTGCCGTATTGGAGGCTCTTCCAGGGATTGAGATCTGTTATTGTTACTGTTTTTTGCATATCGAGTTTGCCACGGGGAGCTTGCCAGTCTCCTCCATGCAGGCTGGATACTCTCGGTAGCTTGCTGAGCTCTACAACAGGGACGGGGGATGTATACAAGCAGCACACATGTTAAAACCAAACACATGTGTGCTGCTTTAGGTACATCAGTGGGCTAGACTATAAGAGGTTCAGGAGCTTTGTTTTATTGTCTCTGGATCTTGGCCATTGATGGGATTACATGGCGCCAGGGCAGTTGGTGGGTGTGACTGCCTAGCTACTGGAAAATGGGGGATCTGGGTGGAGGAGGCCAGTCCCAATCTGAGCAGGCTTGGAGATCTCAGCCCTAAATCCCGCATACGTAGGATCCTCTGTCCGTTCCTTCATGAGTGAGGCTATCCGAGTGTGTGGAGAGTGACCTTGAGTATGGCTGTGGCTGGGTTATGGAGTTTCCCTCCCCGCCCCAAGCAGAACCCCAGCAGCCAAAAACCTCCAAACTTCCAGAAGAGAAAATATAGTCAAGTATAATTTACTTAGAAGTGTACTGATATTAAAATCAGCACATCAATGGATCAAAAGAATATTTACATAAGCATCTCAATAGATAATTCTAAAACATTTGATAAAAACAAATATCTATTTCTGATATTTAAAAACCCTCTAATATGTGGAACTATAATATTAAGAAAGTTTACAGCTCACAGTAAAATACTAGTCATTTGTTTTAAGCTAATAATCATCCTCTTTGTGCTTCTTAGTAATTTGCCTATCTTCCTAGATACAAGTAAAACATGATTATTCATCTGATGAAAATAATATTTTTAACTATGTAGAGATAAAACAGTTACTTGTGTGACATGACAAAAAGAATAATCTGAAGAACTGATAGACTAGTAAACAGGCAGATAAAGAGTTTTCCGATATAACAGCATTAACAAGTTAGAAAATATAACATTAACCAGTAAGGAAATATAATGTAAAAGCTATAATTTACAATATAAGCTACAAATATAAAGAGGAAAAAAGAAATGGAATATAAAGAAAACAAATTTACTGAAGTATAAGTAATTTAAAACATATTGCTATATTAAATTAGGGTTGCAATAATGTCAGGTGTTGTGGGAATATCACCACAGTCAAAATGCCAATAATACTTTTTAATTTTATAAGATAAAATCTACTTAAAAGAGGAAACGCTCACATAGCATTTATGTATGCATTTACCATATATTTATGTGTTCTTAGAGAAGGAGGTCTTTGTAGGTACTATTATATATAATTACTAAGATACTACACTATTGGTATAAGAATGGATAAATTCTGTAATAAAGAAGAGCTAGAAACAGGTGAATATATATAACATTGCTACATCCTTAAACTAGTGGCATCAGAAGCCAATCATGAAGAAAATGGGCTATTTGATCTGTGGTGTCAGAATAACTGACAGATCATAAAAAATGAGTTAGAATTTTATCTTTAAAAAAAATTTAAAGGGCTGGGAATGCAGTTCAGCATAGAGCACCTGCTAATAAAATTCATTGGTAGAGTACCTGCTTCACAAACATGAGGCCTGGTCCGTTGTTCCAAATTACAAAACAAAAAGTCTTTTAAGAGTTCTCACTTTACACATGAAATAACTCTCTGATGGATTAAAGGTTTACGTGTAAAACCTAAGACCATAATAATAGAGGACAAATAGGTTATATGGCCTAGAGTAGAAGTGGAAATAATTTCTGAGGCCAAAGTTTTTGAGTGATTTGATGAGGAAACAGGAGACTAAAAATATTATATATGCTTGCTCATTTATTTCTTAAAATATATGTGTGCACCAGGCCCTGTTTAGTACTCATGGAACTTAATTTTTATCATACATGTTAAGCATACACAGAGCAGAAGTACTATATCTTATTTCTTAACAATTCATGTAATCTTAAAAGCTCATGGTTGTGTGTAAATGTCTTTGAAGGTGATAATGACTGCTTTTGTTAGAGTGGGGGAGTCGACCACCCTTCAAGGACAGAGAACAGAGCTGATAATGTAAATCACATAGTGAGTTTTATTGTTCCAGCTTGCTGGAATCCAAGTATCCACCCGGCACAGCAGATTTTAACAAGGACCCCTGAGCACTAGGTTCAGCAAGTTCTTATACTTTCATTTTGGCAAGTAAGCATTACTCAGCAAATTTCTATTACCTATAGAGTACGCATGTTTTGTTGTTGTTTTGGCCTGCAACATCCAGCCCACTCCCTGACAATTACATTCCAGAGACCTAATCTCATTCTGGGGATGTAATCTTTGACAAAAACATCTAATTTTTCTGCTTTTCTTGTTCCTGGAAGAGGCCTAAGTCACTCAGAGCCTGTCATGGCAATTCTCTGGCTAAGTGGATCCTAACACTTTCAGTAACCAATCAGCTAATAGGTTTACCTAGTTTGTCTTCCTCAACCAATCAGGTTGTTACAAAGAAGCTGCTCTAGTTGATCTGAAGAAACTCCAGACCACAAACAGGTGGACTTGGTGGTCCCCAGCACTATGGGTAACGAGCAGCACTGCATCCTTAGGCCCTCCTATTGAATGCTGTACTGCCTGGCTGAAATTGCTTAGAGGGAGCCCCTCCCCAGGCCTCCTAAGAACTGCTTATGAGGTGTCCCCCAAAGGGGGAAAAAAAGAAAAACCAGAAAGATCCTGATGAGAGGGATTGGAAGAGGAAAGGTTCTTGGACATATATCACTGTCACTGCCTACCGTTGTTCATCGATTTTGCTCAAGCAGTTCCAGTAAAGTCTCCGTTGTGACAATTGTTACTGTGTTTGGCATATTGAATATGTCACGGGGAGCTTGCCAGGCTTTGCCGTGTGGGTGAGATACTCTCCGTAGCTTGCTAGGCTCTCTGAGAGGGGCGGAGGAATCGAACTCGAGTAGGCCATGTTGGCCACTTGCAAGGCAAACGCCCTACCTGCTGTGCTATCCTCCACACATGATGGATGCAAATTTGCCAACCTAACTTCCCAAGGCACCTGTTTGAATTGACCACTTTTAGATTTATTCTCTTTCATTCCTTTCCTTTCCTTTCCTGTACACAGACAATTCCAAACAACATTGTTTGGGATCTGAATTGTTTCTGGGCTTCTTGCTGGTGACAGAATTTCCAGCAAGAATGCAAAGCTGTTCTTCCCTTCTATAATTTAGACAAAAAGAATTTGAAATGCAAATGCCTTGGCAGGACTTTTAGTCATTTAGATATACCAGAGACCTAAAGGACTCCTTACTTTGAAATGAAAACAGGTGATGTTGGGTTGTGGGAAGGCTGTCACCTGTGAACCAGGTAGACTGCTTCCTAATTTCAAGTAGACCCAGATAGTTCCCTCCACTCAGCTAAATGCATGAAATGTCTGGAAATATTTTGGTGAGCAGCTGAGTAGAAACTCTGTCCTGGGCAGTGCAGCAAGCAGATGTGGATCAAGAGAGGGTAGGGATGTCTTGAGGCCTAGACCCTGGGGCTTTTAGGTGCTAAGCCTGACGGACAAGAACCAGGAAGAAAAGCAACTGAAGATAAAAATGGAGTGAGTTTTTGGACTCAGAGCAAAGAGGAAATTTAGAGTCCATTTCTTTCACTGCTTAGGGTCTTTCCCTGCATGTTGCCCTGGGTTGATGAGGTCTCAGATATCCCTCTGAGCAAGAAGAAGGTAAATTGCTGAGAGGGATGCTCACCTAAGAACTTTTCCTCTTCAAGGGAAAGCATAATGAAAATAGGAAACCGTTAATTGATTCTCACATCAGACAGTCCTTTTTTTTTTTGCTTTTTGGGTCACATCCGGCAATGCACAGGGGTTCCTCCTGGCTCATGCACTCAGGAATTACCCCTGGCGGTGCCCAGGAGATCATATGGGATGCTGGGAATCGAACCCAGGTCGGCCACGTGCAAGGCAAACGCCCTACTCACTGTGCTATCACTCCAACCCCAGACAGTCCTTTTTCTAACTGTTAAAATTCCTAACATTCATACAGATGTGCAGTGAGTCTTATCAAAGATCGTCATTACTGATGTCACCAACAGCATGGTAGAGTTAGTTGCTATGAGAAACTGATAGAAGTTTCTATAGGCTAGGAGATTGCAAAATTAGTTAAAATCCAAAAGGGAAATAAAACTGTAGCTTTGAGGTTATGTTTTCAATAAAAAATTTAGCTGATATCCTTTCATTTAAATGAAAGGTTTGATAACATTTAATTTCACAGAATTGCCTCAGTAGTAAATAGTAAGTTAAACAAAATAACATTCTACATGACTTCAAAGTAGACTTATTAGAATGTGTTTTTTTTACTTTAGTTTTTATTTTTTGCTTTTGGGGTCACACCTGGCTATGCTCAGGGTTTACTCTTGGCTCATGCACTCAGGAATTACTCCTGGCGGTGCTTGGGGAACCATCTGGGATGCTGGGAATCGAACCCGGGTCTGCCACATGCAAGGCAAACGCCCTACTGGCTGTGCTATCGCTCCAGCCCTTAGAAAGTGTTTTAATGTGAATTTGTGAAGGCATGTGGTACCCAGAGTAGACTCAGCCACCACCAGCAATGAGCAAATGGAAAGAAATGAGGAAGGGACTAGAATGCAGGCCACGGAATGAATTTTACAGGAAAGATTGGAGCTCAGTTACTTTGTGGCCATCCATGCCTTATTCTAGAACACTGGTTTCAAACCCTGTGGCAAGATGTTTAGCTTATGGTTGCTTTCCTCATTTATACCTTATCTATAAAAAGGATATATAATAATGTCCTTCCCTGAGAGCAGTTTGAAAGAATTTGTGTCAATCAACCTACAACCTAGATTTCACATTGCTGGGAAAGTGGAATTAGCGGAAGACACATGGCCAACAAGGATGTAGGGAGAAGAAAACAGGGGATTTAGGGAGCTAAGCTCTCCAATTACAGAGGTTTAAAGAGTCAGTTGTTGTCATGGAAATGTGTGACTAGTTTATCTGGCCTTGATGTGGTTGATAGGCAAAGGAAGCACCTTATCAAGACTGTGGGTATCTCCCTACGCCCTGACTCCTCCACATCCAGTAGGGTTGTCTACTGCCTGCACTCTGGGGGTGACAGAATCTCACATCATTTTTGGGGGGCTCAGTCCAATGTTTGTTGAATATTTATTGCATGGTTGTGCAGATCACAGTAGCTGCCTGCAAAAAAGTTGCTGGTAATGCTGAGGGGGAAATAGTGTGTAGATTCGTCGATTGCCTCGAGCAGGCCCCAGTAACGTCTCTTTCATCCTAGCCCTGAGATTATATTCAAGGCTATTTAGGAGAATGAGACCCATCATTGTTACTGGTATCTGGCATATTTGGTACGCCATGGGGAGTTTGCCAGACTCTGCCCTGTGGGCAGGCTACATTTGATAGCCTGCAACTTTGTCCAAAGTAGTAATGAGACAATAAGATGTCATTAAAAAAGTGTGTATATTATGTATGAATTATTCTGAAGTTTTCAAGGCACACAGATTATACCTTATCTAGACAATAACCCTATGGATAAAAAAGAAAAAAAGCAATATTAGTCCTATTTTATACATGGAACAACCAAAACTCAGAGACATCAATATTTCTGCTTAAATCAAGTGGGATATAAGCTGACTGGCCTAATCACACTATATATACATACATAAATATGTGTATATATTTCCTTTGAAGTGTAATAGATTTTATTTGGAAGTTCAAGGAGAAGTCCTGGTGATGTTGGTGGGCCCCACCAGTGGCTTATGTGAAGCAGGGAGGAGAAAGACCCCCCCTCTGCCACCCGGGACCTAGGATTTCTGGGTTCTTGTCTCACCTTGCAGAAAAGAATTTCAGGAGTAGACAAGCAGTAAAGTAAAACAGATTTTATTAAGAGGTTTTGAAGGGATCGGGGAAAAGAAAAGTGGGAGAGAGTGGAGAGTAATGTGCTCAAGAGAGAACCTGGCTTCTCCAACGGTGGAGAGAGCCTCTACACACATCCCAGCATTAGAAATGAAAGCATGAAAGTACACATCTCAAGAGGGGAGATGCAGGCGACACGTGCACTGGTGACACATGTGCTCGCCACATGGGCACAAGCAGCACCTGAGCTTGGGCAGCATAAGCATGCCCTTCCTTTGTTCAAGGTGACTTTTATAGGGATTTTCTAACCAGCCCCTAAGTGGAGTTTCCATTTAGGTAATAGTCCATTGTTAAAGGAGGTTACCAAAGGGTTGGGAGTGGTGATGGTCTTCTTTAAAATTCCTTTCCTGGCCTTTTGTTTCTCTTGGACTTTTCTGGGTCTGCTGCTGCTATAGGTGAGGGTCTTATCAGGCCTTAGTTCCTGTTTTCTGCAAGGTTGGCTTCTGCAACTTCAGGGCTATTACCTCCCAGGAAATTTACTGCCATTGCCTAGGGAGGGGGTCTTCCCTATCTGTCTGCCTGCCTGCCTACATCATTGGGGGTAGGGAGTAGATTGGGGGAGAAAAGCACTCAAGAGAGAACACAAAAGCAGGCAAGGCATGTGGGATTAAAACTTGTAACTGCCTGGCAGTCCTCAAATCAGACCATTAAAGTGGCCAGAGATGAATGTGGAGAAATCAGTGTTAAGGACTATTTCTTGTCATGAAGACAAAGGTGAAGACATGTTTCAAGGAGAAGGTGGTGAAAACATCAAACATCTGAAAAAGACAATGGCACGAGGGTGATGATGCAGTGTTGGGGCAAGACTTCAGTAACATTTCTGGGAAGCTTTCAGCCCGGGGTTGGGGAGAAAACTGATATGGAGGGGATGCATGGGAATCTATTGTAGATATAGAATAGTGTGTGTGTGTGGGGGGGGGGGAGTATAACTTTACTAGGAAATGTTTTTAAAATGTTTCTGTTTTTAAAAGTTGTAGTTGATGAAAGAGAAAAATAGTCTGTATGTCGCAGTGAGGGAGATTATGGGGGAGAAGTGTTCATCTCTACCACTTTGCCATTACATATTGGGGGATGGTCTACTGGGGGTTGGGAGACAGCCTGGCACAAAGGGATGTTTTTCTCTGTCATGCCCATGAGCAGCCACAAGATGGAGTCCCAAGTTCTGCTAGTAAGAGCCATTGTTTCCAGGACTTTGTGTCAAAATAGGCATAACCTGAACTTCTAAACATGAGACAATTGTACAGAAGAAATAACCAACACAGGCTCCAAATAAAAGAACTTATATATAAACTAGATATAAACTAGCAATTAGACTACCACAAACCAACAACTGTTCAAAAATCTGCTATTTTCAAAAATGATGGCCTTTCTGTTTATAGCTATGTCTCTAACCTAATCCAGGTTTACCTTCCTGTTCCTGGCTCATACCCAGTCTCAGGAGAACCTGTCCCCTGATGATTTCCAGTCCAACAAGTAGGCTGCCTTCACCTCTCAGTCCCAGTTTAAGCTCATAGTAGATGATACAGTACTGAATGCATACTGGGTTCTTAACCCAATAATCAAAAACTAGCTATAGACTGAGTCAAATTGTAGGAAGAAAAGAAATCTTGTGGCTCATTTCTTCTCTGTATGTCTAAAGTCAGAGTGGGCAGAAAGAAGAGGTTGGAGAGGAGGGTTGGGGGCAAGGGACTCTGGGGCAAAGGCAGGGTTCAGACTGAGCGAGAACAACACCAGCATGATCGTTTCCTTGAGATTGTGGGAACCAGATGCCAGAATCGGAATGAGTATCCTGAGCCATCCAGGTCAGCCAGCCAGGAGGGAGCACTGGTAGTAAGAGCCGCAGGGGGAACCCCAAGGCTTACCGGCCTAGAATCCCCTTCAGAGCTCTCTCCCCACATCTCTGAAGAGCAGAGATTTACGTGGAGCTCAGGTGGGCTCTGGGAATCAGGATAAATGTGGCCTGGATGTCCACAGGTCTAATGGACCCTTGAACCTCATCAAGGAGCTCTCAACCTCATTTTCCAAGCATGGGTCCACTGTGAGATGTAAGCATGATTACTGACTGGATAGAGACACCCAAGAACTGGTTTTACTTTTGTTTTGTCACAGGAATCTCTTACCAGCGACTGGTGAGGGCCGAGCAGGGCCTGCCCATTAGGAGTCACCGAAGCTCTACTGTGTGAGTACCCTTGTGGGAGGAAGAAACACAGGGTGCAATTTGGAGGTGTTCAGAGGACAGGCTTACCATCCTCCTCCCAACCCCCAGAATTCCAACTCATGTTCATTCTGTCACTACACCACCGCCAACAGCAGGCTTCAAGGGAACAGCAAGTTCCCAGAATTGCTGGCGATATTTTAGGTACAAGTTTGCTTATCTAGACTGATACTGTCATTAGATTCCTAAAGGGTCTGAGACCTAAACCATGGATAAATAATAATAACAATATAATAATAATAATAATAATAATAATAATAATAATAAAGCCTAAAACTGCCTGCATTGGTCATATTGGGCACCTGTTGACACATGTAACCTCAATTTTTCACATGAAGCAACTGTAAATTAGAGATGTCAAGTAACTTTTTCATGATCATCAGTTAGAAAATTTCATTGGTGGTGGAAAATGTGCACTGGTGGAGGGACATTCAGACATTGTATAGCTGAAACTCAAACATGAAAGTTTTGTAACTGTAGCTCATGGTAATTCAATTAAAAAAAAAGAAAAAGAAAAGAAAATGTACGAGGTAGATTTGAGCCTGTCTTACTCCGATACTTTCCCTAAAGTCTTTCTGCCGACTATTTAAAAAAAGCACTTTCCAAAATTTTTGGTCCAGTACATAATTTAAAATGCATCTTAAGTGACACAATGTTCATCTGATCTCAAGTTACCTCACCTAAAATGCAACCTTAATTTTTGTTTGTGAGATTATCTGGGTTACACCCATAAATACTCAGAGGACCACCAAGGCCACACTTCATGGTGCTGTGGAAGCCATGCAATGCTGGAACACAAACCCACAGCCTGACACATGCAAGGCATGCACTGTATGTCTCTAACCACACCCCAGCTCATGATCTTTTGAGTAATCTTATATTCCATTCCAACAGGAAAATGTTGCTACAAAAAACTAGGTAAAAGTAGGTTAAAAGGCTAGAGAAATAGTATAGTGGGAACTTGCCTTACAGAATACCTACCTGGGTACAATTCTTGGCACGATATATGGTCCTAGCACTGCCAGGAGTGATCCTTGAGCCAGGGGTAAGCCCTGAGCATTGGTGGCTATAGCAACCTCCCCCTCAAAAAAAATTAAGTACAGTTTTTTGAAGTGTTTGAAAATAGCAGTTGAAGAATCCTCCACTGTAAACTGTAAGATTCCCCCTTGGAAATGGGACCTCGTACACCCAGCCTTCATCCTGATTTTAGACTTGGCCCATAGCATCTCTCTTTGCCCCCAGCACTGTGATGTTGCTGAACCCGCTGGAGGTACATGCTGAGTTCCTTGCTGTGGCCAAAAAGCTGAGCGCACCCGGACACTCACCCAACAGTGCCTACATAACCCTGCTCTTGCACGCCTTCCAGGCTACCTTTGGGCCCCACTGTGACCTCCCAGGTCTACACTGCAGGCTGCAGGTATGTGCCTGTGCCCTGGTGCTCAGCACTGCTCTTTCCCATAGACCTTCTCTTGAGAGGCAGTCTTCTCTCTGCTCTGTCCTGAGGCTCCCATGCTTGGGATCCACTGGTTCACCTCACCCTGAGTGACCTGTTGGAGGACTGGCCTCATGGAGTTTCTGTTTCAGTTGTCCTGGTCCTGATCAGGGTGGTGTTACCCTGGGGCATGGCCTAGGTTAGATGATACAAGAACAAGCTTAGAATGAACCTGGATCTAGCGCTGTGGTAGGTCAACTCTGTGTTGACAGCACCTACCCTTCTCTGGGTTGCAGTGGCGAGATCTGATTTCCTCCTAATGTTCAGTTCCAGGGTTCTCCAGCCTTTGATCTGACCTTTTCCCAAGGCCTGGTGGACAGGCAGGGGTGGGCCTGGCTCTCTAGATAGAGGAGGGTAGTGAGGCTGAGGAGGGGACTGGTCACTGCTGCCCTTAGTGAGATGCTAGGAACAGGAGAACAGTTGTGGGCCAGGAGCAAGCCTGTCTTTTCCCGGGATTTTAGTCCAAGACCCTAAGAGAGCTCGAGGACATCTTCACAGAGACGGCAGAGGCTCAAGAGGTGGCAGCCAGCATTGAGGTTGCAGCTGAGGCCCGCCAGTGGCTCAGAACCAAACTGCACACAGTAGGAGAGAAGGCCGGCTTCCCTGAAGTCTTAGGTGAGCTTTCTACCTTCTTACCTCTCCCTGTTCTAGCTCCTAGTGAGCAATCCAGACTATCCTAGTGATTCTACTCCCCGTAGTCATTGGGGGCCCAAATTCTTCAAAATCCCTTTGCTCTAGCAGCCTTGACGGTGTCAGTTCCTGTCTGCAGAGTTGAGGTTGGGTTGCCAGCATATGACAGCCTTCAGAAAAAGAAAAGGAAAATTCTAATTGAGGCCAGAAAATTTTTTCAGTAAAGAAAAAGCAGAGAAGGTGTGTGACTGGCTCTTCTGCAAGTGTCCCTGTGAGTCCCTGCAGTTGCTTGGCATGCTGCCCCAGTGAAATGCCCTCTCCACAGCTTTTACATGGAGAAGGAACACTGGGGAGAGAGCACCATGACTCCCCATTTGAACTGTACGGAATGGGGCTCAGAGGTGTGAGAGTTGGCCATGTTCACAGAGTGGCTGCTCTCTACAGGGTGTACTTGGGGAAAGGCCCTCGAGCAGGAAACCAGGTGCGAGCTAAGCTTCAGCCTCACAGCTCCGTGCCCACAATCCTCACCCAACATAGCTTCTTTTCTAAAACAAGGAAGGGCCTAGGTTGGCCAGTCTCAAGGTTGCTTCCTGACCCTCATCTCCTGCCCACCTGTTCTTCCAGATACCACAAAACTTGGTAAGCTCCGTACCATCCCCATCCCAGTGGCCAGGTGCTACACCTACAACTGGAATCACGACAGCTTTGGTAAGCAACTGACTCTGGTTTGTGGTGCCCAGTTCTGAACCCCAAACTCTTCCTGATCTTGGTCTGTGCAGCTTGAGCCAGGGGTAAGCCCTGAGCATTGGTGGCTATAGCAACCCCCACAAGAACTTCTTTTTTTAAATTATTATATTTATTTATTTTTTAATAGTGAGGCATCATGAGGTACAGTTGTAGACTTACACATTTTTGTGCTTGGGTTTCGATTATACAATGATCAAACACCCATCCCTCCACCAATGCGCGTTTCCCACCACCACCACGGATCTCAGCATCCCCTCCCCCCCAGCCCCGATCCCACCCTGCCTCTGTGGCAGGGCATTTCCCTCTCTCTCCTTTTGAGTGCCTGGTCTGCAAAAGAGGCATTGAGTGGCAATCATGCTGGTCGACAGTCTACCCTCAGCATGCTCTCCCATCGTGGGTGGATCCTCCCAACACCCTTTATTTGGTGTTCCCTTCTCTTTCTGAGCTCCCCCTTCCCCTAACATGTGTGGTTGTCCTCCGGGTCATTGAGTAAAATTCCTGGTACTAATCTCTGCCATACTTGGGTGTTAGTTTCCTATTTTGTTACTTTATGTTCCCCAGATGAATGCAATCTTTCTATGTCTATCCCTTTCTTTCCGAGTCATTTCGCTTAACATGATAGTTTCCATGTAGTACCACTTGTATGTAAACTTCATGACTTCGTCTTTTCTAACAGCTACACAGTACTCCATTGTGTAAATGTGCCAGAGTTTCTTCAACCAGTCATCTGTTCTCGGGCACTCAGGTTTTTTCCAGATTCTGGCTATTGTAAAGAGTGCTGCAATAAACAGACAATTGCAGATGTCACTTCGGCTATACTTTTTTGCCTCTCTGGGATATATTCCCAGGAGTGGTATTGCTGGGTCAAATGGGAGCTCAATTTCTAGTTTTTTGAGAATCATCCATACTGTTTTCCAGAAGGGCTGAACCAGTCGGCATTCCCACCAACAGTGAAGGAGTGTCCCTTTCTCACCACATCCGTGCCAGCACCGGTTGCTTTTGTTCTTGTGGATATGGGCCAGTCTCTGTGGTGTGAGGTGATACCTCATTGTGGTTTTGATCTGCATCTCCCTGATGATTAATGATGTGGAACATTTTCCCATGTGTCTTTTAGCCATTCAGATTTCTTCTTTGTCAAAGTTTCTATTCATTTCATCTCCCCATTTTTTGATGGGGTTGAATGTTTTCTTTTTGTGGAGTTGAACCAGTATTTTGTATATCCTTGAAATTAACCCCTTATCAGATGTGTAGTTGGCGAATATCCTTTCCCATTCAGTTGACTGTCTTTGTATTTTGGTCACTGTTTCTTTTGAGTTGCAGAAGCTTCTTAGTTTAAGATAGTCCCATTTATCTATCTCTGTTTTCACTTGCTTGGCCAGCGGTGTGACATCTTTGAAGACACTATTAGCTTCTATGTCATGAAGGGTTTTGCCAACATTTTCCTCAATGTATCTTATAGATTCCGGTCTGATGTTGAGGTCTTTAATTCACTTAGATCTTACTTTTGTACATGGAGTTAGGCAGAGATCTGAGCCCATTTTTTGCATATAGCCGTCCAGTTTTGCCAGCATAATTTGTTAAAGAGGCTTTCCCTGCTCCACTTCACTTTTCTTGCCCCTTTATCGAAGATTAGATGCTCGTATGCTTGGGGGGGGGGGGGGGGGAGACGTCAGTATATTCAACCCTGTTCCATTGGTCTACAGCTCTGCCTTTGTTCCAGTACCATGCTATTTTAATTATTACTGCCTTGTAGTAGAGTTTGAAGTTAGGGAGGTTGATTCCTCCCATTTTCTTTTTCCCAAGAATTGCTTTAGCTATTCGTGGGGGCTTATTGTTCCATATGAATTTCAGGAGTGTTTGCTCCAATTCTTTGAAGAATGTCATGGGTATCCTAATAGGGATTGCGTTGAATTTATACAGTGCTTTGAGAAGTATTGCCATTTTGACAATGTTAATTCTCCCGATCCATGAACAGGGGATATTTTTCCATTTCCTCATATCTTCTTTTATTTCCTGAAGTAGAGTTTTGTAGTTTTCTTTGTACAGGTCCTTTACTTCCTTAGTTAAGGTGATTCCTAGGTACTTGATTTTCTGGGGCACAATTGTGAATGGGATTGTTTTCTTCATGTCTTTTTCTTCTCTTTCACTATTTGCATATAGGAAAGCCATGGACTTTTGGGCATTGATTTTATAACCTGCCACTTTACTATACAAGCCTATTGTTTCTAGAAGTTTCTTGATAGAGGTTTTAGGGTTTTCTAAGTATAGTATCATATCATCTGCAAATAGTGAGAGCTTGATTTCTTCCTTTCCTACCTGGATGCCTCTAACATCCTTTTCTTGCCTAATCGCTATTGCAAGTACTTCCAATGCTATATTGAATAGCAGTGGAGAGAGTGGGCATCCTTGTCTTGTCCCTGATCTTAGAGGGAAGGCTCTCAGTTTTTCACCATTGAGGACGATGCTTGCTGTAGGCTTGTGGTAGATGGCTTTAACTATATTGAGAAAAGTCCCCTCTATCCCCATTTTGGCTAGGGTTTTCATCATAAATGGGTGCTGGATCTTGTCAAATGCTTTCTCTGCATCTATTGATATGATCATATGATTTTTATCTTTTCTTTTGTTGATGTTGTGGATTATGTTGATTGATTTCCTAGTGTTAAACCAGCCTTGCATCCCCGGGATGAATCCTACTTGGTCATGGTGTATGATCTTTTTGATGAGTAGTTGAATTCTATTTGCTAGTATTTTGTTGAGAATCTTCGCATCCGTGTTCATCAGGGATATCGGCGTGTAGTTTTCTTTTCTTGTGGTATCTTTGTTTCCTTTTGGTATTAGAGAGATATGGGCTTCATAGAAACTGTTTGGGAGAGTTTCCGTTTTTTCAATTTCCTGAAAGAGCTTGAGAAGGACTGGCAGCAGGTCCTCTTTAAATGTTTGGAAAAATTCGCTAGTGAATCCATCTGGGCCCGGGCTTTTGTTTTTGGGAAGGCTTTTGATTGCAGTTTCTATTTCGTTGATGTTAATAGGTCTATTCAAATACTCCAGGTCTTCTTGATTTGGGAGATTATAGGAGTCCAGGAATTTGTCCATTTCTTCTAGGTTCTCTTGTTTTGTGGCATACAGACTTTCAAAGTAGTCTCTGATGATCTTTTGGATTTCTTTGGTTTCTGTTGTGATATCCCCCTTCTCATTTCTGATTCGGTTTATTAGGGTTCTCTCTCTCTGTTTCTTTGTGAGTGTTGCGAGTGGTTTATCTATCTTGTTTATTCTCTCGAAGAACCAGCTCTTGGTTTCATTGATCTTTCGGATTGTTTCTTTGGTTTCCATGTCATTGATTTCTGCTCTAAGTTTTATGATCTCTTTCCTTTTGCCTGATTTAGGTTCTTTCTGTTGATCCTTCTCTAAGGACTTGAGCTGTGAGGTCAAGTTGTTTATGTGCACCATTTCCACAGACCTAAGATATGCTTGCAGAGCTATAAATTTTCCCCTTAATACAGCTTTCGCTGCATCCCATAGGTTCTGGTAGCTCGTGTCTTCATTCTCATTTGTTTCCAGGTATCTTTTAATTTCATCCTTGACTTCATTCCTGACCCATTCATTGTTCAGCATCGAGTTTTTTTAATTTCCAGGTGTTTGATTTGGTTCTCCGTGTCTGTGTGTGATTCACTTCTATCCTCAGTGAATCATGGTCTGAAAAGATGGCTGATACTATTTCTGTCTTCCTTATTTTGTTGAGGTATGTTTTGTGTCCTAGCACATGGTCTATTTTGGAAAATGGTCCGTGTGCACTGGAGAAGAATGTGTATTCTTTCTTTTTGGGGTGTAAAGCCCTGTATAAGTCTATAAGCCCTCTCTCTTCTATTTCTTCTTTCAAAGCCAATGATTCCTTGCTGGGTTTTGTTCTTGTTGATCTGTCCAGAGGTGATAGGGCAATGTTGAAGTCTCCAAGTACTATTGTGCTGCTTGCAATGTCCTCCTTAAAGTCTGTTAGCAGTTGTTTTAAATATTTGGCTGTTCCCTCATTAGGTGCGTATACATTTAAGAGTGTGATTTCTTCCTGTTGTACGTATCCCTTGATGAATAGAAAATGGCCTTCACTGTCCCTTCTAGCCTTTTTCAGGGTGAAATTAATGTTGTCAGATACTAGTATGGTCACCCCAGCTTTTTTTACAGGAGCTGTTTGCTTGCAGGATTGTTTTCCATCCTTTGACTTTGAGTCTGTGTTTGCTCTGAGTGTTGAGATGAGTTTCTTGTAGGCATCAGAATGTTGGGTTCTGTCTCTGTATCCATTTTGCCACTCTGTGTCTCTTCAATGGTGAATTGAGACCGTTGACATTGAGAGAGAGTGTGGTTATGGGGTTTTGTGTCATGTTTCTGTGCGGGTGTGTTGTGGTTGTAGAGTTTGTCTTGTCTTATAGTAGCCCCTTTAGTCCTTGTTTTAGGTTTGGTTTTGAGTCTATGAAGTTCCTGAGCTGCTGTTTATCTAGAAAATAGTGTAGCTTTCCATCTATTTGGAGTGAGAGTTTAGCCGGATAGAGTATTCTTGGTGAAGCATTCATTTCAGTGAGTTTTTTGACTATATCCGCCACTGTCTTCAGGCTTGTAGGGTTTCCTCTGAGAGGTCTGCTGTGAATCTCAGGGGTGCTCCTTTGTATGTGATTTCCTTTTTTGCCCTTGCTGCTTGCAGTATCGTGTCTCTATCGGCAGCATCGATCATTCTAACTATAATATGTCTTGGGGTGTTTCTATTGGGGTCTCTTTTAGCTGGCACCCTTCGGGCTTCTTGAATCTGGATGGCTGTATTATGGAGCTCTGGGAATTTTTTGGCAATAATTTGTTTCAGCATGTTTTTTTCATTGGGATTGTTTCCTTGAGCTTCTGGTAGTCCAATGATTCTAATGTTGTTTCTTCTGGAATCATCTCGTAGGACTCTGATTCGCTCTTGAGCTATTTTGAGGTCTCTTGCCATTGTTTGCTGTTGTCTGTTGGCTTGGTGCAGCTGATCTTCCAAGTCACTGATTCTTTCCTCAGCTGTGGTCGTTCTATTTTTGAGGGCAGTGAGTGAGGTTTTGACTTCATCTATGGAATCTGTGATGCGTGCCATTTCTGTGCGTAGCTTTCCAATTTTGGCTCTCATTTCTTGCCGTATTTTGTCAATTGTGCGATCGATTGTTTCTTTCATGTCCTCTTTCAGTTTAGCGGATATGTGTGTGACTGTTTCATTGAGTTGATTGAACATCTTGATGACTTCATATCTGAATTCCTTGTCAGAGAGGTCCCTAAGGTGGCTAGCACCTACTAAGGCTTCTAGACGTATTTCTTCATGGTCTTCCTGTGGTGGGGATTTGCGTTGTTTCCTCATGTTGTTGTGTATGTGGAGGGGTAATATTTGTTGGTTTGAGTGGATTACCTACGGCCGCATTAGCGGCCGCCCACCGAAAGTTAGGCCACGCCCACTTTTTAAAGCCACGTCCACCCCTGAAGTGGCCATGCCTCACGGATACCTGTTTTTTGTCCAGGAAGTAAAGACTGGGTGGGGGACAAGGGAGCAGCTCTGATGGGCGGCCGGACCAAAGGGACAGGCAGAGAGACGAAGATCCCCCTTTCCTCCCAGCGTCGGGGGGGGGGGTGGCCTGCAGACCCCCACAAGAACTTCTACCTAAGCAAATTCTAAGGAGAGAAGGGGCTGTGCTCTGAGTCGTGGCTGACCTTGACACCCTCTGTCTGAATTCTTTCTGTCTGAGCCTCCTGTTCCTCCCAAGGAAAGGTATGCAAGAGGGGGATTCAAGGGCCCGGACACTCAGATGCTGCTGCCCTGCCTTCCCTGCAGATATTCTACAGGAAATCCTGCACAAGGAACAGGAGTTGCTCCTACCAGGAATCCTGAGAGATGAGGAGCAGGAGGAAGAAGAGAAGGAAGAAGAGTACTTAGCAATCAACAGGCATTGTGATGAGAGAGACTCGCTGATCTCTACCAGCTCTAGGGACTCCCAAGACTCAGCCCTGTCCCTTGTCTCCTCTCAGGTGGCAGGGGCTTCCCTGCCTCGCCAGTTGCTTACCTCCTTTGTCTCAGGTCTCTCAGATGGCCTGGACAGTGGCTATGTGGAGGACAGTGAGGAACTCCCCTGTGAGGGGTCCTGGAAGCCAGACAGTCAGGAATGCCAGAGTCACCACAGGTCTGGGCAGAAGCGCAACAGGATCTATCAACTCTTCAAGAGCACCAGCCAGCTGGTGCTGCGGAGGGACTCTCGGAGCCTGGAGGGCAGCTCAGATACAGCCCAGTTTCTTCTCCGGGTGGAAAGATTCTCCAGCCCCCTGGACAGCCCAGCACTGTTCCCTCCCAAGGCCCAGCGCTCCTTCTCCTTGCCCCAGCCTCAGCTCAGGACCCAGCTGCCCAGATGGCTCCTGGCCCCTGCCTCAGGCCACCAGCGCCGGCGCCCATTCCTGAGTGGAGATGAGGATCCCAAGGCTTCCACACTTCGTGTTGTGGTCTTTGGCTCTGATAGAATTTCAGGGAAGGTGGCTCGGGCTTACAGCAACCTGCGGTAAGAGCTGAAATGGGGGCATTGCTTCTGCTGTAAGTGGGGGAGTAGGTCTTTGGGGCTTGAGACTTGGGGCCCAGAAGGAACTCCCTTCCCACCCTCCTCTGCTAGGCGATTGGAGAAAAGATGCCCACTGCTCACACGCTTCTTCAAGCTCCAGTTCTTCTATATTCCTGTGAAACGGAGCCCAGACACAAGCCCAAGAACCTGCCCTGATCCTCCATGCCAGATGCCCCCAACCCTTGCAGACTCCCCAAGGCACTCCAGCCCTGAGGTAGGTCCCCAGCCTGTACAAAAAGGGGTGGGGCCTCAAAGCAGGCATGTGTGGAGTTCATTTATGGGGAGGATACAGCTAGAAGTTACCCATGGGAATGGCCTGTGTTAATGGGGTACCCCTTCCTGCTTGGCCTTTGCTCCCAGGAATGGTTCCGCCCTATACTTCAAGAGGTATTTTGTGTCACTAAAGGCAGAGAGAAGTTGCGCTTTGGCTTCAGGTGCCACTCGCGTCTAAGGAACTCTTCCTGCAGGTTCCCTGCGGACTGGGAGTGACTTTTGTCCTTTGTTCCAGGAGCTGAGCACTGCCCCATGGGTGGAAAGTACCAATGACATCTCCTACTACCTCGGCATGCTTGACCCATGGTATGAACGCAATGTTCTAGGCCTCATGCACTTGCCTCCAGAAGTCCTTTGTCAGGTGAGTGCTCCCAGGGAGGAGAGAGAGGCTCACTGCCTGGTCACAATGTCACTTAGAACTAGGACTGATTTGGGGGATCCAGCTTGACATTTCCATGGAGAACCAGGGCTCCCTTGAGGAAAAGCTTAGAAGATGGGTGGAAAGCCTGAACTCAGGAACTTAAAAGCCAGAGGGGCAAGGGATGGGTCACAACATTGACAAGAAGGGACCTCAGAAGTGTTCAGAGAACCTTGGGCTTCAGCCCTGACACTCAGCTCCCAGCTTTGTCCAGCACAGCTATACCTCCCTTGTGATCCACAGTCCAGGTGAGGGAGAGTTACAGAGGCTGGACTGTGGGCCCTGACCATGCCCATCTCATCATCACCACCTTGCTCTGTCTGCCTTTCGTGTGTGTGGCCTGTATTCTATTTCTCTCATTCTCTGTTCTACCTGTCCCTTTGTTCCTCTGTCCCCTACCCCCAGCAGTCCCTCAAGGCTGAGTCTCGGTCCCTGGAAGGCTCTGCTACCCAGTTGCCCATCCTGGCAGACATGTTGCTCTACTACTTCCGCTTTGCTGCCCGGCCCGTGCTGCTGCAGGTCTATCAGACAGAGGTAAGGCTACCCCCATTGCCTCTTCCCCACATTCTTTGGCCATCTTCCTTCAGGTCCTAGCTTGAGTCCACAGGGCCTGCAGTCAGCAGCCCTGTGCTGGGAAGGGCCTGGTGGATACTTTGGAAAGGGTCACACTGATACCCAGATTCTTACTCTCTCCAGCTGACCTTTGTCTCTGGGGAGAAAACAACAGAAATCTTTATCCACTCCCTGGAGCTGGGGCACTCTGCTGCCACGCGTGCCATCAAGGCTTCTGGTCAGTGTCACCCATGTCCAGGTAGAAATCTGTGGGAGGGTGGGAGATGGGCTCAGAGACACCAGGAGGTGGGCCAGGGGTTGAAGGCAGGACCAGGGGACAGGAGCTGGGAAATAGTGGGTTTAGAGACACCAGAAAGGGGGGCCTAGAGAAAGCATGAGAGGCTCTTAAAGTGAGGAGTGAAGAGTTCATGTTTGGCACAGGTCGTGGCTGCAAGCGGCTGGGCATCGATGGTGACCGGGAGGCCATCCCTCTAACACTACAGATTATTTACAGCAAGGTAAGAATGATGCTGGGGCCATTGCCCTCCAGAATCTGCACCTGATCTTCCTCCCTGGACTGTGGGCCCTGACCACAGCAAGGGACTCAGATTTTCCTGGGCCTCTTGCTAAGCAGACCACCTGGCTCTGGGAGATACAGTGAGAAGGGATCAGGAAAGGAGCAGACCCCATTCCTGCTCTGCCTCCAAAGCCGCCCTCTCCTTTCCCCCCACCTGCTCCTCACTGTCAGTTTCCAGGATTGTGAGGGCTTGAGAGTGAGGCCTGGGTGGGGCTCCCAGAGTCCCAGAGAAGATCTAAGGAGAAGGTGAGGATGGGGTTTAAGGATATTTTGGGGCCTGGTTGAGTGTATGGGAGATAGGACCAGTGTGAAGAGTAGTTGTGAGATGAAGTGGGAGGGGGTTGCACCTGAGCACACCAAGGAGCATGAAACTCTGAGCATGTCATACCCCAGGGCTCAGGTCATAGAAAAGACTTGACTCAGAGATGGAGTGTCCTCCTGCATTCCTGCTTTCTGACATTGAAAAGGTACTCATTTAGTACTACGTATGCATGTCAGATTTTGTGCTTGACATGGGGAAATAGCAGCAAACAGAGAAGGCTAGGCCCTCCCTTTGACTTTCCTGGAGGAAGGAGACAGACAAGAAAACAGGAGGCATAAATGGCTAACATGATGGCAGAGAGGAATTTGCTAAACATCTACAGTGTTCCAGACATTATTCTAGGCCCATTTGAGGCCACAAGAGTGAACAAGTATTTATAGTCTAGAGGAGATGGCATACATTGATTATTTGACCCTACAAGATGCATATTTACAGCAGTTACAAACCAATGAAAGAAAGGAATTTATGGCCATAAATAAGGGCAGTATTTAATCCAGTCAAGAAAATTAAGGAAGGCTTTCTAAAGAAGGGGACTAAAGTCAATCTTGAAAAGAAAGCCAGGCCACGTTTAAGCTGAATTCTGCAGGTGGTGACTGGCATGGGCAAAGGTGCTGTGGCAGGAGAGAATTTGGGTAAAGGACACTTAAATAAGACAAAAAGGAGAGGAGAGAGAGAGTGAGTGGAAACATGATGCTAAGGTGAATCTAAATAAACGAACAGGACCAGAAAACCAAAGCCTTGAGTGTGTTAAGAGAAATTTTGTCCTTTCTCTAAGGGAGGCCTACTGAACAGATGTTTGGATGTGGCTGGTAATGTGTAACAAACTGAATTTTCATTCTAGAAGCTCCATCTGGTAGCTTTGCATAAAACACATAAGAGAAGTGGATGTGGGGAAGTCAGTCAGGAGGCTGTGGTGGATAGCCTGCACTAGGATGCTGGTAGAGGAGAAGATGGGAAGAAATGGGAGAAGTGTGTAAATGATGTGAGTAGATATGAGTAGTAGCACAGTGACATCCAAACCCCTAGTCCAGTATTACAATTTTTTCGGAAGAAGCTCATGTCTGTGGGGGAAGATCATGAATTTGGGATATGATGAATGTGAGATGGCCTTAGGAGGGAGAAGAAGAAAGTTAGAATAGGTAGTTGGATGGGAGATGGCTGAGCCTAAACTCAGAAGTGAAACACAGATACGTATGTATAGGCACAATGGGAAAAGGGCACAGGCAAAGTTCCCTGAAGGAGGAAAAATAGAAAACAAAGCAAAGGGTCTAAGAGAAGGTTCTGAGTCTTGTGCCATGTAACAGCAGGCAGAAAGAGGTCATTGCATGAAACAGAGTGGTCCCACACAGACAGATGGGGTTGGGGAGAACCATGGTTCACCACCTTGGACACACAGGTGAGGGATGTATTGAGCAGAGTCAAATACTCTTGAGATACTCTTGTGTTTAGTAACATGGAGGTTATCACTGAAAGGGACATTTGGATCAGGTATCAGAGAAGGAGGTTCAGGTATAACTCTGCCAATAATTACGTGGGCCTATCTCTTTTATGCTCTAGGTTTAACAAGAGATTAGCAAGACCGCCTCTTGTTCTCAAGTGCTCTACAACCTGTTTACAAGGCTGACACATACACCAAGCCAGTGACCCATGGGTTTTCTGGGAAGTCATTTAAGATCTATGTACAGGTCAAAAGGCTATTGATGTAGAAACAAGAAGAGCTGGATAAGTCAGAGAGTCCTGGGGTGGGCTGACTATGGGCAGGTCCCTGTTGCTGGAGGGTAAATTGTTACTTTGAAAGCAAGGCAGAAGGTGCTGGCACCTCCAGGCTTAAAGGTTCTGGCTTTGCATTATCAGGGAGCCGTTAGTGGAAGAAGTCGCTGGAGCAACATGGAGAAAGTCTGTACCTCTGTCAACCTCAACAAGGCCTGCAGGAAACAGGAGGAACTAGGTGACTGGGGTGGACAGCGAAGATGGGTGGGTATTGTCTAGAAGAAATTCTGAGCTTGGCCTAAGTGCTACTGCCCTTCAGATTCCAGCATGGAGGTCCTGATGCTAAACCTGACAGAAGTAGTGAAAAGGCAGAACCCCAAATCCAAGAAGGGCTTTAACCAGGTAAGCTCTGCCTTCTTGTAGCCATTCTCTCAAGAAACTTACTAGGTGTGTGTGTGTGTGTGTGTGTGTGTGTGTGTGTGAGAGAGAGAGAGAGAGAGAGAGAGAGAGAGAGAGAGAGAGAGAGAGAGACAGAGGAAGAGAGAAAGAGGAATCTCTGAAAGGCCCAGTTAGGTATGTAGGTGGGGAAAAGAGTCAGGATTAGAGGTGTGGCTTGGAGATGGACAAATGTGGAATGCTGTGGGGTGTTAGGAAAGAAAGGATATAGATTGTAGGAAGGTTCTATAGTAGGCATAAGGAAAGACTTGAGACTGTGTTGGGGAATCCCAGCCTCTCATGATATGGGCTCTGATCAGCATGGTTCCTCCTGGGAGCCACTTGCTTCTTCTAACTCAGGAATGGGAAGTTTGTGAAGGGGTAAGTGCCTGATGGAGGCCGCAGGACTTCTCCCGTGGGTTGGACTTCTCCCCCATTAGCTCTGGAAAACTGTCAGACAAGCTCCCATTCCTATTGCTAAAACCTGGGTAGGCAATTCACAGGTGAGGAACTGCTGTGCCAAGGCCTGCAGGCGCTGACCTGGACACTCCTTACAGATTAGCACATCACAGATCAAAGTGGACAAAGTGCAAATTATTGGATCCAACAGCTGCCCCTTTGCTGTGTGTTTGGACCAGGATGAAAGGAAGATTCTTCAGAGTGTGGTCAGGTAGGAAAGAGAGGGGTTCTCAGCTCTGTTTTAGCCAAATGGGATCCCAGAAAAGGGGCAAATTTCTATGCACCCCCCTGAAGCAGCAAGAGGAATGGGGATTACATTTACTCCCACCTGCCCCACAGGTGTGATGTCTCACCCTGCTACAAACCAGAGAAGAGCGACTTCTGCCACTCATCTCAGAAGCCCACCGACCTCTCATCCCAAGCTTCACCAGACATCTGCTCCCTTCTCTGCCTCCCCATCATGACTTTCAGTGGAGCACTACCCTAGAGTGCCCTGTGCCAGCCCCCACACGGCCTCCTGCACCCCCACCTGAGCCCCTTCCTGAGGGACAGCTGAGAAGCTCTCACTCCCTGTGTCTCCACTGAATGGTGCTTGGTTGGAGTACCTGGCTCACAAGTTTGGTGCCTGATTGGGTAAAAATTGTGGTATTAGCTTTCCGACTGGCAGGATGGAGTGCTGAGAAGTTGGGAGCAAATATAGAGAAAGATGGTAGGATGGAGGAAAGGGCTTGGTCTAGATTTTGGACTGCTGAAGTTGGGAGAGTAACCATAGATGCAGACAATTGTGTCCTGCCCTGAACCCTTCCCTCTTCCTTCTCCTGATAGGGCTTCTAGGGGTCCATGAAATCCCAGCCCTGAACCAAGTAAAGTGGATAAAGCTGGCCATTCCTGGTCTGACCAGGCCTCCCCCATCTTATTCATTTGTACTTGTTCCAGAGTAACTCCAGAGAGTAATCTGACTTCCATATTGTCAACTGATATTGTCCTGCAGTATCTGGTGATTTGAGTACACAGAGCTGATGCCAATACAGTCTATGACTGATGGTCGAGAGATGCAGACCACAAACTGATGACACTGTAGATAAATTAAAATAGGAAATTTCAATTAAAATTAAAAATTAATACACAATTAAAATGGAATTTATTATTATTATTATTATCAAATAAACTATGTAATTATCTATAGTTATTTCACTGAATGACAATTAATTGAATGACAATTAATTTGACACTTAATAGCAAAAATTAGATTCATGGTGGGGGGATTTGTTGTTTTTATTTTGACTTTCTACTCTATAGGAGATATATCTGGGGCCCGATGCGGTCAGTCCTGGTTCAATCTCAGGCAGCACATTGTTTCCTGAGCACCACCAAGTGTGACCCCTAAATACAGAGCCAGGAGTATCCCAGCAATCACTAACAGGTGTGGCTCAATCCTCCCCCCCCCATAAAAATAAAATAAATTTGCACTAAAGTTTTCCTTGAGAGTGTTCAATTTAAGCCTCATCATACTCATTGACTCACAAATTAATCTAGGCCAGATAACTCAGCAGTTGTTATCAACCACCTATGTTAAGAAATGTAAGCTCTTTCATACAGCTGTTGTTTATAAACCAAAGTCCAGGGAGGCAACAGTCTGAGGTTATCATTGCTAATGAGAATGCAGAGGCTCTGGATCTGGGGCTCTCTCTGGACTTGATGCTGAAAAAGGTCAAGAACAGGAAATGAATGATGATGGAAATTCCTTGTGACTTGCAAACAATAGGGAGCAAGAGGCTTCCAGGACAACCACTGAGGATAGAGGAAGAAGGAACCAGGGGGTGCTCTCTGCATCAGCCAACTCTTGCCAATAATAAGTATACCTAACAGTAAGTTAAAACTGTGATCATCTGTGCCTATATGCATCTTCTGGACATCTAATTATCACCTAGATAAAATTATCTAGGTGAGTCTCAGAATACCTTGGCTTCAAGCTATAATTTAGCTTCAAGTAAGATCTGGGTATCTTATAGTCACCTTAGACCAGAATCAAGCACAAGAAAGTTAAGCAGAGACATGTGACATCTCTAGGACCTGGAACCAGAACAATATTCAGTTGGACAACTTGACTGAAAATTATCAACCCACAGATTAAATCAGCTCAGCAAATTTTGCAAGATAAAAACTAAATCACATAGAATTTCTTTTTATTTTTACCTCTGATTTTTTTTCAAACTCCCATAACCTCAATTAAATGAGAAAAAAACATAAGACAAACTCAAATAGTGGGCATATTATTTATACTGACAAGGAACATTAACTATATAAACACAGAAATGCTGAAAGCAAAGAATGAAAAAAACACAATGCAAACCTAACCCCTCAAAACTGGTGTTGTTATACTAATATTAAAGATTTCAAGAAAAAAGTTACATAATATATAGAGGAACTTTTAAGAAGATTAAGGGTCAGTAAGCAAAAGTCAGAGTGGATCAAACACCTTGAGATATGACCAGAAACAACAAATTATATTGAGGAAAGTATAGGCAGAACACTCCAAGATTTCGACCTCAAAGGCATCTTCAATGACCATTGGCAAAGGAACAGAAACAAAAATAAACAAATGGGGCTCCATAAAATTAAAGAGTTTCAGCATGACAAAAGAAACATGGGCTAAAGCTAAAAGACAGCAACCTGAATGGAAAAATATTCACATTCAACACATCAGATAAATGTTGGTATTCAGGGGCTGGAGAGAGAGCACAGCGGTTAGGGCGTTTGCCTTGCGTGTGACCGACCTGGGTTCGATTCCTAGCATCCCATATGGTCCCCTGAGCACCGCCAGGGATAATTCCTGAGTGCAGAGCCAGGAGTAACCCCTGTACATCGCGTGGTGTGACCCAAAAAGCAAACAAACAAAAAAAACAAAACAAGTGTTGATATTCATAATGGGCTGGAGCAATAGCACAGCGGGTAGGGCGTTTGCCTTGCACGCAGCCAACATGGCTGACCTGGTTCGATTCCTCCGCCCCTCTCGGAGAGCCCGGCAAGCTACCGAGAGTATCTCGCCCGCATGGCAAAGCCTGGCAAGCTACCCGTGACCATATTCGATATGCCAAACACAGTAACAAGTCTCACAATGTTACTGGGCCCACTCGAGCAAATCGATGAACAACGGGAGGACAGTGACAGTGACAGTGATATTCATAATATATAAAGTACTCAAAAATTGACAAAAATAATCCTGTAAAAATTGGTGGAGGAAATGAACAAGCACTTCTTGAGGAAGACAGGTGTATGGTCTGAACTAATAGGTACAAGAAAAAATGCTCATCATCACTTATCAAAATCCAAATGAAGATGACAATGAGATAACATCTCACATCAGTGATAATGGCACATATCAAAAATACTGGTAGCAATCTGTGTTGTTTTGGATATGTCGAAAAGGAATTTTCATACACTACTAGTGGGAATGTTGTCTGGTTCAATCCCTGTGGAAAACAGTATGGGGAATTCTCAGTAAACTTAGAATTGAGCTGCCTTATGATCCAGCAATTCCCCTTTTGTGTATACACCACCTCCAGAAGAAAAAAATTCATTCATAAACACATATGCACACGCTATTCATTGAGGCACTTAGTATAAAAGCTAATTCATGGAGCAAGATGGCAGCCGCTTCGGAGCTTTTTGGAAAGCCAGTTATGAGCCGGTGGTGAAGGGGCAACTGAAACCTCATGGGAAGGGGGGAATTTCCAGCTCATCCTTCACGCCCTACCGAGGTCACGGGATGCCCCCCACAAGCAGCTTTCCTGCACAGCAATGGCTCCAGAAGCACAAGGACTTAATACAGAGCCCGGCAACTTGCGGCAGAAAAGTGAATGCACTATGCATTAATCCACGGCACTATGCCTCCAGAACCACAGAAACCAATCTCATAATTTTCTGGCTCTCGGCAGAAATACTTCCAGGCTTAATAAGTAAAATATCAGAAACCCAAAATCACACGACTGCGATAGCGGCCCCGTGACATCGTTTGGTTCTTGTAACCAGCTGTAGAAAACAAATTATTTCACAATGCCTTTTCAGCAGGTCTGATTTTGGGGTGTAAACTATAAACAATAATGGTGCATCTTTTGTCGAAACAATGAATCTAATCAAAGTAGATAGAGTGCTAATTAGAATTCATCTGCCTCACAGGCATTGGGAGGAGTGGGAGGGGTGTATATTGGGGTTCTTGGTGGTGAAAAATAAGTACTGGTGAAGGGAAATGTGTTTGATCACTGCATGACTGAGACTTAAACCTGAAAGCTTTGTAACTTTTCCCACAGTGATTCAATAAATTCATTCATTCATTCATTCATTCATCATCCTGTTATTCGTGGATTGCCTCGAGCAGGCCCCAGTAACGTCTCTTTCATCCTAGCCCTGAGATTATATTCAGGGCTCTTTAGGAGAATGAGACCCATCATTGTTACTGGTATTTGGCATATTTGGTACGTCACGGGGAGTTTGCCAGACTCTGCCCTGTGGGCAGGCTACATTCGATAGCCTGCAAGTTTGTCCAAAGTAAATAAATAAATTCAATAAATAAATAAATAAATAAATAAAGCTAATTCATGGGCTAGAGCGATAGCACAGCAGTAGGGCGTTTGCCTTGCACGCAGCCAACATGGCCGACCCGAGTTCGATTCCTCCGCCCCTCTCAGAGATCCCGGCAAGCTAGGGAGAGTATCTCGCCTGCACGGCAAAGCCTGGCAAGCTCCCCGTGACGTATTTGATATGCCAAACACAGTAACAAGAAGTCTCATGATGGAGACGTTACTGGGCCCACTTGAGCAAATCGATGAACAATGGGAGGACTGTGACCGAATTCATGGAATCAGCCTACATTTCCCATGACAGATGAATGAATTATGAAGATGTGGCATATATACACAATGAAATACTATCAACTACAAGGAATGATGAAATCATGCAATTTGCTCTAAATTTGATGAAACCAGAAGATATCATGTTGAGTAAAGTAAGCCAGAATAAGAATATAATCATTTATCTGTGGTATATAGAATAATAGGGTGATGGAATGCAATGTTTTAAAGAGGGGAATGCCTAGATCATCTTTGATTCAAGAGTATAGGGAAGAAAAAGACAGCAGGAAAGAAATCAAGGGAGAGGGAAGGAGATGAGAAAGGGAAGTAATGAAGACATAGGGGTCAGGGACCTCAGATATATATATATATATGTATATATACATATATGTCTTAGATATATATCTACACATACACACATATATATAATGTGGGGAAGTGATATAGCTATATACTCAAAGCACACAGTCAACAACACTGAAAATACAAAAGCGTAACTACAGTCACCAAACTTTATAATGTGTCTGTCAATGTGCAGGCTGGGGAGGCAAGAGGGAACGTAGAAACACTGATGGAGGGAAGCTGACATGGTGGTGGAATTCCTTGTTCCAACTAAATGGAAAATAATGGCAAATAGACAAAAGAGTGATCAGAAAATAAATCAGTAAAAGCTAATTTGTGATTGTTATATCATTTTAATCTGTAAATCATCACGATCACGACCACCCTGTTGTTCGTCGATTGCCTCGAGCAGGTGCCAGTAACGTCTTCTTCGTCCTAGCCCTGAGATTTTTTTTTTTTAAAGTGCCATATTCAAGGCTTTTTCAGGGTTAGGAGAATGAGACCCATCATTGTTACTGGTATTTGGCATATTGGGTATACCACGGGGAGTTTGCCAGACTCTGCCGTGTGGGCATGTTACATTTGGTAGCCTGCCAGTTTGACCAAATTAGGAATGAGATGATAAGATGTCGCGCGGCCGGGAGCTGAGTGTGATGATCTCTGGATCCTGGCCGTTGTTGGAGTTACACGGCAGTTGGTGGGTGTAACTGCCAGTAACTCTGGCAGGTCCAGTCCCAAACTGTGCAGGCTTGGAGATCTCAGCCCCGGGTCCCACACACCTGGGTTCCTCTGTCAGTTCTTTTATGCGTGAGGCTCATCCAAGTGTGTGGAGAGTGCTCCCAGCATGGCCTTGGCTGGGCCTCGATGGTCTTCAGCTGTTGGGCCCTGGTGGAGACAGTCAGGCATAGGGTGGGAGACTCTGTCTTGTTCTCTCCCAGGAGCTGAGTGTGATGATCTCTGGATCCTGGCCATTGTTGGAGTTACACGGCAGTTGGTGGGTGTAACTGCCAGTAACTCTGGCAGGTCCAGTCCCAAACTGTGCAGGCTTGGAGATCTCAGCCCCGGGTCCCACACACCTGGGTTCCTCTGTCAGTTCTTTTATGCGTGAGGCTCATCCAAGTGTGTGGAGAGTGCTCCCAGCATGGCCTTGGCTGGGCCTCGATGGTCTTCAGCTGTTGGGCCCTGGTGG